GTTGGATTCCTCGCTCCGTGGGCTGTTCTCGTGGTAGTGTTTAGCAGTGCACCCCTTTATCAAAGGGTTGCCTATGAGCACGCTACTCCTTTTCTGAATTCGGAGTAAATTACTGCTAGCTGTTCCAGCATGGGAATATGCTGTAGGTCGAGCCCCCTCTCGATTGAGAGCTGGGTGTTTGCTAGTTCTGGCCCTAACAGGTAAGTTTTTGGGGTATGTAGCCTAGGCCTTTGGCCGTAGAGGATAATGTCACTGAAAGCCGTCTTAACGTCCCAGAGTTAGTACTTAGTGCTCGCCATGGTTGGATTAAATGAAAGTATAGTCAAATTTTTTAATTAGCATGTTTTTGTGTTTTGCTTTGGTACCGAAATTGGTACAGAGAACCGTGGATTCTCACTGGTATTGGTACCGAATACTGACATTTTGGTACCGTTACAACACTAATGAGCACTGTGCGATGTCCGAACTGATTGCACTGTATTTTATGTATTGCTCTGTATTTTATGCAACCCAAAATGATCGCACTGTATTTTATGTCTATATAATCATTTTCTATTTTTAACTGTCTTAAATTCATTTTAAATCAATTTTTCAATAATTTTCAAAGTTTTTAAATTCCTAGTGTAACGGAGGCCAGCGAGTAGGTGCTGTGCAGGTAAACCTCACTCCCCTGATCTCAAGAGACACACTAGCGACCGACGCTAGAGGCTGCAGTCTTTAGCCTCCTTGTTAGTGCATCCACCTCCCATGCCGGAGACCCACTCGGAACAAGAACAAGGTGTGGCGGTGAGGACCCGGGTGAGAGGGGTTACATTGGTGCCATGACCCTGATGGGAGTGAGGTTTAGGGGTTTGAGTGTAACGGAGGCCAGCGAGTAGGTGCTGTGCAGGTAAACCTCACTCCCCTGATCTCAAGAGACGCACTAGCGACTAACGCTAGAGGCTGCAGTCTTTAGCCTCCTTGTTAGTGCGCCCGCCTCCCATGCCGGAGACCCGGGTTCGAGACCCACTCGGAGCGAGAACGAGGTGTGGCGGTGAGGACCCGGGGGAGAGGGGTGACATTGGCACAGAGCAGCCTTATCTTGGCTGTGTAAAGACACCTAGAGGGTCATTGTCAGTGTTGCAGTTGCTGTGTGCTGACTGACTGACTGTTGACGTCACCTTCAGCTGCTGCGCCCTCCTGTGAAGCGTCTGAGAATGAGAGGTTATTGGTCAGACACAGGTCCTCGTGCACGCCCACCAGCGAGTAGGTGCTGTGCAGGTAAACCTCACTCCCCTGATCTCAAGAGACGCACTAGCGACTAACGCTAGAGGCTGCAGTCTTTAGCCTCCTTGTTAGTGTGTCCGACTCCCATGCCGGAGACCCGGGTTCGAGACCCACTCGGAACAAGAACAAGGTGTGGCGGTGAGGACCCGGGAGAGAGGGGTTACACTTATTTTATTTTTGTGATTATTTTTATGATTATTTTACTCTCTTTTATGTAAAGCACTTTGAATTACCATTGTGTACGAAATGTGCTATATAAATAAACTTGCCTTGCCTTGCCTAATCAGCCAATATTGTCTTAAATAGACTTATTCTTTTATAAAATGGGATTTTGACCAAATATATTCAATCTTGATTTTTGTAATGTACAATGTTGTTGTAAAGTGGGCGGGCAATATGCTAATGTTTCATGTTGACGTGAACATGAAACGGATTGGGATTTGTTTTAAAAACGACTCGTTTCAATGATTCAGAGTCGACTCTTTCTTTTGAGAGACAATAACTTTATACACGGTGCACTTTCAGATTTAAAACTTTGCAGGATGTTTTCATTCACTTAGAGCTGTGTTACACACTGCATGAAAGGTAATCATGAAAGGTTTCAAAAATCCATAATCGGGGCCCTTTAAAGTAACTACAAATGAGCATGTAAAACAAATATCTTTTTAAAAAATTCCATGTGAAGCATGCCCCCGGTTTTCACCTTTTTTCCCCCTTACCCGTTTTCATCTCTGGTTGTAGATCATTAAACCGTTACGTTGCCTCAAATCAGTTTCATGAGCTGCCTTCGTGCAAAAACGCTGCCTTCAAAGTCATTACCTCATAAGGCAGCAAGTCAGCTGCCTAGGCTTTCGGACGCCGCCATTGTTTGAAATGACGAATTTGATGACGTAGCATGTTTCCTGCTTGTAATATTGAGCATACCTGTGTCGAGATAATTTTGCTTTATTTAAGTGTGTACAGATCTATGAGGATTAAATAAAAGTACTTTTAGAACGAGTGAGCATAGGAGCGGCCATCTAATAGTATTAGTCAATTACCTCTGTCTAATAACCAAGACTGGCTAGTATGTGACCGTAAGGTACGCTAACGGATGATGTGAAATCTCTGAGCGACTCCATAGATGCGGATGTTTGACCTGCGCAATCGGCTCACCATATTTTTATTGGTTCAGCCTTTACCTTTCGAGTCTGCCATCAAATAGCTGCTTCACAACACGGCCATTTCGTAGGTGGCAAAACCGGAAGTCCGAGTGTCGATAGAGTTTATTTTTAATATGCACAGTAGTTATGGTTCTGTCTATGGTTATTTAATATGTTTAGTAATCTAAATGAAGTACTTATGCTCTAAGGATGCCTGATTATGCCTGATAGATATTTTATCACTTTTCTGAAGAATCAATAATAGCATAGCATTTCAGCATACTTTAGATTTTGAAAATCTGTGTACTGTATTTATGCATTTAATAAAATGTTCTTACAAAATAGAACAGTTCTGGGAATCAATAATCCATTAACCAATTTAAAAAAACATAAGTGCACAATGATGTGTTCTGAAGTAAATCTATGAAAACATGCAAGTACATTTATATACATTTATATTTGCCTTTATTTATATAGTGCTTTATACAATACTGATTGTTTACATACAGATACAGGTACATACAGATCCACTATAAATCCACTATAGCTTAGATCTAGTTTAAAGTGCTCAGAATATAATTATTTAATTTTTTACTTTCATTACTACTCATTAAGTAGCATCAGTAGCTACATTTATCCTTAAGTTGAGTCCTTAATTTGATCAGACGTGAAAGGCAAGATTCAGACCCGTCTGAATCAGTTATCTTGGTATGAGTGGTTAAGGTCAGATAAACCATGGAACCAGAAGTGACACCGCAACCAGGAACGAAGCGGTCAACATACTGATCCTGCTGCTGACTTCACCTGATGAAAATTCTGCATTAAAAGAGAAGAAAACAGACAGAAATGATAATTCGCTGACCTTTTGAAATGTTGCCTAAAGCAAAAACACTGCAAGTTTGAACTCTAAAAATCCATGTGCATGTTCATATTAGCATTCATTCTCTGCGTGAAAAATTTCAATCTCATTATTGTGAATAACTGTTATTCCTGTCTAATGTTATTAGCGATAACGGATTTATCTTCTGAAATTTGTTTGTGAAAATACTAGGTTAATAAAAACCTAAAAGCGTACGATGTGGACGCGAGATTGTGTACTTTTGTTGTGCAATAACCTACACAATAATGCAAGGCAGTTTGACTTGATTCAATTTCAAATTTAATTCAATTTTGCATTTAATCTATTTAAACAAATATAGGGTTACCATTTATTTCGATAGTCCAGTTTTGACATTCTACTAACTACAAGTAATTTTGCAACTACATGTCAACTTGTTCTACTAACCGTGAAGGGTTAGTTCATCCAAAAATGAAAATTCTGTCATTAATTACTCACCCTTATATAGTTCCAAACCTGTAAAACATTCATCTTCGGAACACAAATTAAGATATTTTTGATGAAATCCGAGAGCTCTCTGACCCTGCATATACCCTTGCTGTCTATGCAGGGTCAGAAATCTCTTGGATTTCATCAAAATATCTTAATTTGTGTTCTGAAGATGAACGAAGGTCTGGAATCACATGAGGGTGAGTAATTAATGACTGAATTTTCATTTTTGGGTGAACTAACCCTTTAACATAAGAGTATATGAATACTCTAATGACAGTTCATTGACGTAGTTGCAAATTAATGATAGTTGACATGTAGTTGCAAAGTTACTTGTAGTTAGTAGAATGTCAAAAGTGGAACCAAAAAAGTGCACAGTTTCAATGCAAGAAATTCAGTTTGAATGTTTTAATTTCCCACTTTATTGGCAGGAATGAGTAAAATTATTTGCAGTCCGCAACAAAATTTTGGCTCTGCAAATTAATTTTTAATTAATTCAATTAAAACGAATTTTTAGGACATGCATACATGCTAATATCTCAGTATTTATCATTGATGCCCTATTCTGAAATTCAACAGATCTTGTATTTGAGAAAGTAGCCACAAAGATTACATTAGCCAGTATATGACAGTGTTTCTGTGGATCTGTAAAAGTCTTCAATTTAACTTCATAAAACCCACAGAAACCCTGTACAATTCCAGTAAACAAAGAAGTAGCGAACCATGACTCTTGAACCTAGGCCCTCTCCCCCTAACTACCAGCCTAACTAGCTTATGGTGTCTTCTTCTAAAAGTCAGCTTTAACAATTCCTAATCCAGCCTTAAGGCAGTCACACACTGAACACACTGTTCCCTTTCAGGAACTCGAGCTGCGTCGAAACGCTATGGGAACGCCTTCAGCGTGACCACGCTCTGAATCACGTGTGTAATCAGTCCAATGGATGGGCGAGACGTCACAGGCGGGGGGACGTAGAGACCAGGGAGCTTAAAAGCACGTGCGGTGGAACCGGTATCAGCTTTCTGTCATTCAGCAAGCGCTCTGTGTGTGTGTCACTTATTT